AAATCTGTCTCTTGCAAGCTTCGGTTATTGTAGTTACTAGTACTAGATTGCTGGACTAACCTGTTTATTGCATCATACACACAGTCATGTAGGCCATGTGGGAGATTACATTCAGTGAATGAGAGTGAGCTAAATGCCAGTGAACTGGGAGCTTTTTTTCAATACTTTGAATTAACGACACTTAATGTTTCTAAAATTTATTTGCCATTTATACAAAATGCATATCACGACAAGAGGAAGAGAGATTTTATACAAGGGAGGTCAAGGAAGCGCATGGGACGTGTTATACCGAGTGCTGCAAATCAAATTACTTTATTTTTGTTTTGATCCGCTTTATTATACTCTTTCTCAATGCCCGATTATGTCAAGAAAATAGTGAAATAATGCCTTTCACTGTTTACTAAAAGCTCAATGTGGCATCTAAATAGCTTGTGTCATCTTGACCAGGCAGTAAAAAAAAAAAAAAAAGAATGTATAACGAGGGCTTAAATTGGGGAATGTTTGGTATTTTTGCTCGACAGATAGATTAAATTCTAATAGTTGCCAATTAATTGTCTGTCAGTCATTACTATTACTGCTAAACTCCATTAAAAAAATGATCAAAGACAATCAAGCAGAATTGAAACAGTTCGAATTATTCAGATTGGTGGTAAAAGTACAATCAGATAACTTAAAGCAGCGGAACCAAACACTCCATTTCATGACCTTATCTGTATAAAAATGGGGGTAGATGATACAAATGCAGTAGCTGGGCTGTAGGGCCGGTCAAAGGCGGCGACGGTGGTCATTTTCATTCAGTACACAAGACAAACAAGTAGCGATAACACCGTCAAACGACAGATCAATCGATAAGAAACACAGGGATGAAATATAGCCAAGGTTGTCCAGGTAAGTGTGTGGTCTTCGCGTTGACCTTGACAGGATGAAGAGCAGGGAGTCGGGGAGGGTGTGACTCATTCATTCATGTGTTTCCACGGTAACAGGAGGAAAGGAGGCAGAGTGAGTTAGAGTGAGAGTGTGTGTGTGTGCACATGGTAATTCCCAAGAGAGAGACAGAGAAGAAGTCGGAGGGGGGGGGGNNCGGGGGGGGGGGGGCAGGGAGAGATGAAGAGCAGCAACCTTGGCATTAAGGTGGTTTTGAGAATACTTTGTTCTTTCTCGGTTTGTAACGTTCTCCCTAAATCCTTGACAGGCCTAATCACTACTGCACTGCTGCAAGTTGAAGCTTTGAGAAAGAAGCTTTTCATTGATACAGTACTGCTTTTTGCACCTTTCCAGGGCAACAATCTGCGTACTGAGGGTGATTGCAAATATTGACAGGTCACTTAAGATCTATAAGACGCCTCGTTAAAGTCACAGACTACAATAGGCAACTAATTCCTCTGCATGCTGACAAGATCTTTTCTCTGCAGCCCCACCTCTGAGCGTATCTATGCAGCAACGTGTAGATAATTAAATCATTTTGTCTATCGCTTTCCATTTATCGTCTGACTATTAAGACACAAATTGGCCGCTCACAGCATCTTAGAGGATTTTTTTTATGGCTGTCCGGAGTCCACACACCTCACCAGACTGTTCTTGGCCCGGGGCTCTTTCATCCTTGACCAAATCACTCATTCATGCTCGTTCGGCTCACATTGTCATGCGAGAGAGACGTGAGCTCAGGTGACTCATCTGATCCTTTTTCATTGTGAACCCCCACTGGGTTTCCACGAAAAAGGCTCTGACATCAAATGGTTTTATGGTCTATTGTACGGTACAGACATTTATTACACGCCCATAAATCCAGAAACGTGCAAAGCCAGAAATTGGGATTAGAAGTGAACTTTTGGCCACTTGGAAGAAGGCCCCACCCTGATAATGCTGTTTTATTAGCTTGCCTGGCTTAGCCATGTCTGAGCTGAACTCCAATCTATGTGTTTTGCAATTGAATTGCTGCGTAGACTTAAATTCACATCGCTTTGATTAAATATTGATTGAGCTCGGGTTTATCCTGTCACTGTAGCTTCTTTGTCTTTTAAAGCTGAGCCTGGACCTTTAGCTTGCAGGTATAATGATGACAAACTCCTCCTTCCCTCTTACTACTATTTAAGTGTTCTCTCTCTCGCAAATATCCTCAGTGTCGTGGATTACTTAGATTACATAGTAATGACTCACACTGATCTGCGCCTCAGCGTCTGTGAGGGTCTGGCTGAGGGCCAAGCAGCAGGTTGCCTCAGCTTGGTGGCTGTTTGAACAGGGATTTAACGCTGGGAGGAAATGCAAGAACTAATCTAACAGGGCTTTATAAAGGCTGATTAGGGTTATATCATAATGCTGCACACAAACACACATGCTTGTTAATAATCAAAGTCTGCAGCTGCTGGTGGCATTCAATCATTTGTCATGCAGGTCAAATAACAGAACAGTTCTTGTCTCTCAGGTGTAGTGTTTGCATGTTTGGATTCCAAATCTCTTTATGAAGAGTATCCTGTCCAAAATAGGTAGCCATAATAACAACAAGTAGAAATGAAACTATTGGTCAATTTATCAATTACTCGATTCATTTCTATTCTATTCAGCAGGATTGTGAGGATTTGTTGCTTTTTTTTTTCTTTCTTTTTTTTTGTATTTTTACATTTTGGATTGTTGGTCGGACAAAACAAGACATCTTAAGACATCAAATCGGTTTTAGATAATTGATTCAGGCATTTCTCACTATTTCCTAGCAGATTGTAGACCAAGCGATGAATTCAGAAAATAATTGGCAGATTAAATGATAATGAAAATGTCAGTTGCCCAAATAGCAATTACAGTGTAATAACATTAAACAGGTAACACAAAAAAAGAATGAATACAAATTCTAAAAAAATGTAACAGTCTAAATAAGACCTTAGAAGAACGTCAGAGCTGTCTAAGACCATATAATACTAAATAAATAAATTCTGTGAAGTCTGAAGTGGAGCCTCAGTTGGTTGCTGTCAGGAGACATCAAACAAAGTCCAAGAGGAACAGAAATGTGCTCAGAGAGCATGTCTGAGACCGAGCCTCTTCCTTTGAGAAACAACACTCCAACTACAAAGCAGGATATCAAAATATCCTGTGCTGAAAGAGGCTGAATCCTGTAGAGGTTTTGTAAGAGTTGGTCAGTAAATGTGACAAAGACGGGCAGATGTGGGCAGATGTGATTCATGCTGCATCAAGAGATTCGACAGTTCCGATTTTTTTTATCCACTGCTGACAAACACGTCAAGAGAAAAAGAAGCCATGTTCCCCCTTTGGCCTGGAGACAAAAGGATGTAAAAACGACCACAAGAACAGGAAAGCTGAAGAGATTCCGCATTAGTCAGCATGTCTCACACAACATGCAAGCGTGCACATTTGCTCAGCCTTTAAAAGCACCCGCGGTTTTACACGAAAGCCGAAGTTTGAACTGAAACCATCCACAACCAGAACATCACGTTTATTCACCTCTGGTGCACAAACATATCAGGCAGTTTGCAACAGAAGAAACGTGCTGAGTCAGTGCTGCTGGATGTCAAAGGTCACGCACTGAAGACCCCTGCTGCCATAAGTCAACTTAATCAGGGGTGTGATGTTTGTCTTTTGTTTTTTACCTTTTACCTGCAACTGGAGTTACATAAGTGAGCGCCTGTTCTCACCACTCGCACGTGATTGCATTGAGAATCTGTCAAAGTCAAACACATTTGCACGCCCTTGCGCTTTCAGTTGAGCACCTGTTTTGGCTTATGGTCAGATTTCACGTTAGATTTAACCGATCTGAGAAAGCAGATGCAGATGATTTGAGCCTTTCCCTTCATCTAAGCTAAGGTGTGGTTAAAGAGAACCCGAAGGTGTGTTTGAGTCTGAGTAACCATTAATACCTTAATTATTATCTAATCTAGTGAGTCCAACCTTTTTATGTTTTCAACCCCCAGCTAGTGACTCCTCATTGCAGGTTATGACCTCAGTATGTTGTAAATTGTGAGCAGTTCAACTGAAAAAAGGATTTTTAGAGGCATGGAAATCCAATAGAATCCAGATTTGTCTGTCTAACAGCTCAAAACCTAAAGATTTGCAAGGATATAAAACAGAGAAAAGCAACAAACAAGATATTTTTTACATAATGAAAGATGTAAATTACCTCCATTATGTTGTCACATATCATAACTAGCTACAAGTTATACTACACTGTAGTTCATTGGCAGTTTATTGACACAATCTCAGCACTTTGTTTGACTCTCCAGGCAGAACGTGACCGTATCATTTATACCTTTGACTTTTGTACCGTAAAATGCCACTCAGTTATGATTCAAAACCTTGAACCTTTGACCCTTAGACGCCTTTTTTTATTAGCCGCTGGGTTCAAGCGCAGTAAGCTGAATCTGATCGGCGGCTCCTGACCTCCAACCTCGGCTTTGTCACAGAGTGAATCTGATTGGTGAATCCTTTTCATGTTGGACCAGAACCCAATCGCCCGTCTCTCCATCTTTCAGCTCCTGTGTAAACTGCCTGGCACTCTGATGCTCATTGAACCCGTCAGGGCATTATTCTCTCTACCCCCCTGTCTGCATCTGGCTCTCATCCCGCCTCCTCCCTCTTTGCACTCTTTCAACCCTGCTCTCTGCCTTGTTCCATCTCCTCATAACTCGGTGCTAAATCAGCAGATTACAGGTTTCCCTTCCATTACTGTTCAAACTCTCTCTCTTTCTCTCTGTTACTTTCTTTTCTCTTTGTCGCTCACTTTCTACCCATGACCTCATTCTTTTTCCTGCTTGATTTTGTCTTTTTCCTGCTCATTTTATCTGTCTGTCCCCAACGCTGTTAGCAGGAAGTCACACAGTAACTTTTACAAGTAAACGTGTAGTTGAGAAAAAGCCCTACAGACAATTTAGTAGCAAAACTAAAAGCCCAATGAGGGTGTGCGCAAGTTTTTTGAATGTATTTTCTCTTACTTTTCCAGGCACCTATTGGTTCTGTATGATATGAAATTAGCAATTAACATGTTGTATCTCATTTGTTTATTTCGTACACAAACAGAAATGTAGAAATGACACTTTGTGGTTTTCTGGATGGTTAACAGTCGGCTGCAGTGAGTTCCTACAGTCTTCTTGTCTCAGTGAGGTTGCCAGGTTTGGTACAATTATGCCTGCTGAGACACTAAAACCTGTGCGCACTGACTACACACTGATTGACTGTAACATCATGTCAGACTGCCAGTTGTCACTTTTAAACTTCAACTTATGTTTAAATTAAACAAACTTGTTAAGTTTTAGTGTTGTTGGTCAATGCAAATTCATTCTTCTAGGCTAGCTGTTTCCCTTGTTTCCTGTCTCTATGCTAAGCTAAGCTAAACATGTACATTCAAATTCAAATCAACACACAGCATCCTACACTTCCCATAATGCAACTGGATAGCATATTTTTGACTCCCTGCCTGGTAAACGCCATCATCTTTCTAACTCTGCTCCCCCAGTTTGTAATCTAGACTTTCCTTTACAAGTAGCTGTTGTTGTACTGTTGTGAAAAATGGTGCAATGCCCCTTTAAATGCACAAAAAAAAAAGCCCATTAACAACTTATTTTACTTTACCGCTGATCATTCACACACTTAAACACTGCAGCTTCTCACAACAAGGCTGACAACAAACTCTTTTTCAATCATAAACCTGACTTCTCTCCCTCCTCCTCCTCCTCCCGCCAGGTAACATCATCGGCTCAGGTATCTTCGTCAGTCCGAAGGGAGTGATGGAGTACGCCAGCTCCGTGGGCTTGGCCCTGGTCGTCTGGATCATCACAGGCATCATCACTGCCATCGGGGCGCTGTGCTACGCCGAGTTGGGCGTCACCATCCCCAAATCGGGGGGTGACTACTCCTACGTCAAAGACATCTTCGGAGGGCTGGCTGGGTAAGTGAACACGACTCATTCATAAAGAAATTCCCTCATCTACGTATAACACCTGAAAGTGAGATTAATGGTAACCATGTTTCCAGGAAAGAGGTTGTAGTCATTATGTGCAGGAAACCATGTGTTTGTGGTTTTTCAGGTTTGATGGGTGTTTTTTTATTTGCACTCATTGGCATTTTGGTCTGGTGGTTTATTTTTACTCTTTCTCTGAAACATGATACATACAGTGAGAAATATAATAGTTAAAGTACCCACCCGTTACCATTTGTGCTAGCCAATGACGTTAAATGCTATTTTTCGTGATTACAAAAGGTTATTTTGAGGCATTATATTTATTTATTTCAGACATTTTTTACAGACTCTAAGGCCACTAAGGTTTGATAAAGCCCCAGCTGACCCTGGTCACCGTCTATAAAGTATACGACCCAGTTTTCTAGAAGAAGAGGGCCTCCCAAACAATTAAAGTTAATATGACATGGATTTAGGTGAGCATAACAACATGTCTCGATTCCTCTCTTTATCCTGGTGGATGAGCCTGCCGATGTAGGTCAGACATCTTGATCCAAAGCAGGGGGTCTTTTGCTCCTAGTGCAGAAGTTAGTTAAAACCCACATTAAGCCAATACTGACTTGCGTTGTGTTTAAACACGATCACAAAGTCGTTTCACTAACAGTCAGAGTGACTCACAGGGCTACAAATATCAGGCCGCTGTGGTTGTTTTCATCTCTCAAGTCAAGCACTTTTGGACATTCTTTCAGACCTCCGGCTCCTTTCATTCATCCATAAATGGTTAGCTTTAAGGTATCGGCGCTTATAGTAAGCGCTTGGGAACAACACTAGGTTAATTTCCTAGCAAAACAATATTGTTTGTTAGCGTAGATTTCACACACACTGTGCCTTTGCCCGGACTGTAAACACAGATTAGACCATTGTTTTTTCAACTATCACAAGGATACATATATCAGGGTATTTTGGGAGAGGAATTCAACAAGACAAAACAGCCATTGATTGTTTTTGTCCCTTTGTACAGTAGCTATCAATACACATCAATGAGCTATGCTCGGTTTGAAGTGTAGGGGCCACACCGGTTCCCTGTGCCCTCTGTCTAGGATAAATACACTGTGTTCAAGGGGTGTTTGTTTTTGTTGTCCTGCTCCTTTTATCCCTATGTGTGTATAGGTGGGCGTGGAGGGGTGCAGTTTGTGTCATGTGCATATATGTCAATAACTGCAGCGACGGAAATAGTTACGTTACCTTGTCGCAGCTGGGCCAGTTCGTAGAAAAAGGGAAGAGCTCGTAAAAGTTGTACGCTCAGACGGAACTTGAATGGACAGTGTTTTCAAGTACAAAGGGTCTTTGTTATGTTAGACTAATGGGGGCTGTGTTACACCCTGAATGTGAGTTAAATAGACTACTATAGATGCCACAGTCTGCAGGGAGTCATTGTTTGACCCAAAATAACTGACCTGATATAAATGGAAATACAAAGGAATAGATTAGTTCATTTCTTTATTGTTAATATCCAAACACAGGGAATACTTAATAATTTGCTAATAATTTAACAATTTATTAAGCAAGAATGCCCCAAATTCTTGGGTTGCAGCCTCTCAAACATGAATATTTGATAGTTTTCTTTGTCTTCAATGATAGTAAACTGAATACCTTTAGGTTTTTTTTTACTGTTGATTGAACAAAACAGACAATATTAATTTTAGGCTTTAGTAAAGTGGGATATTATTTTTAATTGCAGAAATATAATCGCTAGTGCCGCTAAATCTTCTATTTTTCCTCCATTTGAAGCAATAATATGTAAGTATGTAAGCAAAAGAACAGCTATAAATTCGCCTTGTGTAATGGAGTTTTACATGTAAGTATGCATTATGTAGAAGGGCCCCTTTCAGAGTGTAATTATTATTTATTTATTCATACATTAACCCCCACAAGCTGCATTTGAATGTTGTAGCTGCTCCACAATATGTCTACTATGATACTACCGTAAACCACTATGCATCATATAATCTGGGTTTATACTGAAATATGTTGACCCAATCTGCAAAATAACTAAGTAAAACAGTAAGTGTGTAGTAAAGTAAAAATGTGTGTAAAGTTGCATAAAATGTACAGTTAAACAAATATAATATTGAACATCGTAAGTACTTGAGGAAATGCTGCTTTCCTCCACTGGTCTAGAGGCTTCAGTCGGCATTTGAATCTACATTTTTACATTAAACACACACATTCCAGCGAGACACAATCCCTTTAACGCAGTCAGCTGTAATGATCCCTTTATAAGCTTTCAAAGAATCTCATGGAAAAACCACTCGCCTTGTCTCACCTACTACACTCAGATAAACCCTCTTGCTCCCCTTCACCTCCCCCTCCTCCCCATCTGTATTAATCTGTTTGTGTAGTTCCAGCGTGTCACTGCTGACGAGGCTTGCATCAGCATTGTATGTGACTCATCCCGTTTCTGACACAGTGAACATGCTCAGGGTTTCTGTGTGAGGCTGACTTTAATTTGACGTGGTTTTACTCAGGATAATCAAGTTAATATTGAGCCTTTATTAAAAATCATCCATCAGTGTCAGCTACTGTCTGGAGGCACTGGTGTGTTTTTTAAGCTGGTATCAATATCTGAGTTTTTCTTTCTTGTACTTCACAGGAGGAAGGAGTAAAATGGGTTCAAACTTTTTTTTGTTAGGCCTATTGTGTGTTGTTTTTTATGATCATGCTAGTTTTGTGCATTTGGTGATATAAATGTTGTATTAAGTGATCTTTTCTCTAAGAAAAAAGGTCTTCTTACAGACAAAAGACAATAAAATGCCCCTAAAACAAATCACAAAAATGCAAAATTCCCTATTAGCTAAACATTATTCTAAGCAAACACTGACTTACATCAGTAATCATGAGGGACATGATGATGCACCAACACAACAGAACGTATTTGTGCATCATGATGTTCCTCCATGACTAGAGCTACTTAAACAAACAGGTTGCATGAGTCATCTCAGTTAAACCATGTGCCAAACTGAAATTTCATCAGTCTCGGATCCAGTGGGGGTTTTTAACTGCTCTCCGTTTTAAATGCTCTTGTGGAGGCTTTCCTGTGATGATAAATAGTCGCACATTTTGGGGGAAATAACAGAAGTGAAACTTTGCCATGGTATAAGCCATCAAGTTTCCATATGAGACACCACGGACAGCGTGGGTCTTCCCCTTAGCTTTGTCTTATTATTTGTATAGTCTTAATCAAGTTTTTTCTTTCTATTGATTCTTTAATAGTTTAGCCTGTAAAACCTCACAAAATAGCAAAAAAGTGACACCTTCAAATAGCTTGTTTCTCTGACAAACACAAAGATTTTAAATTTAAATTGACATAAAACAACAAAATAAAGTTTTTTATTTGATAAATGACTCAAATGATCAACTGATGATTATAAATTGATAGTTCTTTTGTAGTTCTTTTATAGGATTTGGAGTCTAAGCAAAGCAAGAAATAGAGTTTACATTTCCACCCAAAATAACCTGCTTTGAATGGCTTCTGTAAATGGAAGGATGTACCATGTACCTTTGTGCTGTTATTTCCTCCTGTTCAGCCCCACCTGTGTCTGCTACTGTTTCTCCCATGCCTCTGTGTGTTTGTAACCGTGCCACCCTCCCTCCCTTTTTTTGTCTCAGGTTCCTGCGTCTGTGGATCGCCGTGCTAGTGATCTACCCGACCAACCAGGCCGTGATCGCGCTGACTTTCTCCAACTACGTCCTGCAGCCACTATTCCCCACCTGCTTCCCGCCGGAGAATGGCCTCCGTCTGCTGGCTGCTGTCTGCCTCTGTGAGTAATACAGTCGGACATACTACGGTTTACTATTAAAGTTAGTTTACATTAGTTTTTCTACCCAACCTAGGCCAGATTAATTGAAAGCTGCAAGGTCAACATCTGCAAGTAGATAAATAAACATCACAACACGTTATGTAGCCTACAATACCTGTGTAACCAGAATGTGGAGTGAGAGGTGTCAGCTGTGTCACATGTTCATAACAGACATGACAGGAATAGGGATTTAGCAACCTTTAACAGTCACAGAAATGTAATCCTTGCGTCTCCTCGAGCTCATTTTAGTCAAATTATACGCTTCAACTGTTTCCTTGCAGAAAAACTGGTTTTCCTTTGTTGACTCTAATGTTTGGCAGCTCAGCGTGCTGTGACAACACTGACAGATTTGTCTGAGGTAGACAAAAAAGACAGAGAGAAAGGCACATTAAAGAAATTGTTTGACATTTTAGGAAATACGACTCTTTGCTTTCTTGCTGACTACTACCGCTCTAGTGTCTGTCTGTTGTATATAAAGCTACAGTCAGTAGCTGGTTAGCTTAAATTAGCACAGAGATTTGAAACATGGTACAACAACAGCTAGCCTGGCTCTGTCCAAAAGTAACAAAATCCACCTACTTACACCTCTGAAGATGACTAATTAACACATTATATCTCGCCAGAGTATTTTTTGACTGGAAATTATGGGTTGCAGCCAAAAATAATCCCGCACAAACCCCCCGTAAAACGTCAAATTGTCGTTTTACACTTCAGTTTTTCTACCAATTAAACAAGGAAGATATAACATGTTAACAAGTGAGCTTTAAAGGTGTTGGTAGGCAGGTTTTGTCACCTTTGGAACTTTGCAAAAGTATTCTGTTTAGGCAAATACGGTTATATATTATTGTCATAGCAATTTTTTTATCTCTTTTTTATCTCATGTAAATATCTGCTGATAGCAGCTAGAGCATTATTTAACTTTTTTATGGCTATTTTTATACAAATTTAGTGTGTTATGAATGTAATTTCTAGGAGAAAGGGAAATGACAAACATTTCACAAATTAAACTCCTTCAAAAAACCCACTTTTTTGGTGAACCAGCCCAGAGCTCAGACTCCACATGGATTTAGTTTGTATTATTTAGAGATAAAAGACTGCAGATGGCCTAAAGACACACAGCAAAAGTACTCAAAGTTCTTCTTGAGTGTGCTTGTTGGGACAGGCTCGAATGTTGAAAAGCTGCTGCAGACTTCACTTTAAAATAACTGAAAACTAATGAGAATCATTGTAATTCCTCAAGAGAAAGGGTACACAGATGCTGACACAGTTACAAGACAGTTAAACATTCAGGGTTGAGACACTAGTTGCTGGACAAAATGTAAAAGTAGCATGTAATTAACAAGTTATTTAAAGGCACCACAGATTGGATGAATTACAGCTTGTTTTATCCAGTTTATGTGTTGCCACTGACATGACAGTGGTTGATATGAATCCCTCAACAAAGTTCACACACACAGGCCAAATACTGCAGGCAGCCTTCAGACAGAAAGACAGGCAGGGACACAGGAGAAGAGTGTGTGTATTTTATGTTTATGTTACTATGAAGCAGACCTTGTGGAGGATTAGACTGTTCTCTATTAAAACCATAATCTGACCTAAACATCCCACATTAAGATTCCCACAATCCCCGCTTATAGTGGGAGCTGTGGCCTAACTCCTGCAACTATAATGACATTTAAGGGGGATAATGAGTCCATATTATTATTTTAGTCATCTTTTTAAATCACAGCTGAACGCTTTTGGGCGCTGGAGTAGGGAGAAGGAACATTTGCGTACATTTCTAACACAATTATGTGCATCCAGGTTGCCTACAATCAATGTTTCTGTATTTCTACTCCCGTAAACAGATCTCGGAAAGGTGTTCTTTTCCTAGAGGCCGCCCTGTGACATGCTGTCACACTGACACACTGGCAGATGGGCACAGTTGGCTGCCCTGTTTGGCTTGACAATGTGGAACCCTCACTTTGTAAAGGCATGCACAATAACAGGCAACACATTTGTACTCGGTGAACCAAGAGATCCACATCATACTTAATTACCTCTGTCAAAGAAGTCATGTTGGTGCATCAGCAGGATATCTGAAGAACATTTAAACAGATTTCATATATAAAACAGACACAAGATGTAACGGATACAAATAAGTCATGCACACAAGTGTTTGACAAGATTAAACAACTGTGTTATGTACCATAGTATGTGAAATTAAGGTTTAATTTGCAGGAAGCTCCAAATGGGAAAAAACCTGTTAGAAATAGGAGAGGTCTGCTCTGATAGCTATGTGATAAAGCATGGAATTTAGGGGAAAAAAGAATAAATCTTCAGTTTTACCTTCAAGAGTTATGGCAGATTGTGTCAACTAGAGGGATGCCCAAAAGTATTTGGCAACAATAACTGAAAAACTGTTTATAAAAGCATTCTCTGGGGACTAATCTAACTATGTTATATATCAAACTTGGTAAAAAGAAGATTAAATTGAATCGGTGTTGCATATAATGTAGGTGGAAAACCAAAAGGTCTGCTCTGATATCTAGTACAGATTCCTCACGTGAAGTGACACACAACAGATAATCCTTTGCACATGACCTAACTCTGTGCCAGATTTATTGAAATCTAAAATCTGCATGCTTTTGATATCCGTCTAACCAACAACAAACACAAAGAACTGAACACACGTTCTCTTTGGCGAAGATAATCATAAATTTATAAGAAAGATCAAACTTGGCAGATGCCTGCACTTCTGTTTGGATTACAGACACACTGACCTACATTTACCTGTCTTCCTTGTCCTACTTCCATGAATGCCTTAAAGCAAATGTGCTCCGTTCTGACATGAACTGCTCGCACCCATAACTCTAGCTTTCAGCTAAACTGGCTTCGATTGGCCGAGAGTTTTCTTGTTTCTCTCTCGTGTCAACTGGACAGATGTTGTCGGGCAGCTTTCAGGAAGAGTTGCTGAGTTTATAGATGTTTGGTCCTTGTTTTGCTGTTATTGTTGAGGGGATATGTGGGTGAGAGGTTAGCTGTTTCCTCCCAACTCTGATGTCATCCTTGCTTTTTAATGGAGGCGACGTGCATGTGTCCGTATGCTTCTGTGTTTACACATTTCTGGGGCTTCCTAAATTTGGACCCTTGCAGAATTGTCATATAATAGCGTGCAGAATATACCTACAAATCCAGTCACAACCAGATTCTGTGACTGTCGCCGTCAGGTGTCGTCATTTAAATCGGCAGGGCAAAGGTTTTGCAAGGTGTACCGTTTCAAAAACATGCAGGGGGGGATTCTCCCTGGGGTCCATCTCTTTCTACAGATGGCAGAGTGCAAGGTCATAACTCTGTGGTGTTTTCCACCCAACTCATAGTTAACTCAGCAAGTTTCCACACACACATTTTGTATACTCAGCTTACGGACAGCTGAGCGGCCCCGCAGCTCCATAATGTGTCATCAGGTGTTTACTCGCAGCCTGCCAATCAACAAGAAGGAGTAGGAGGGGGGGGGGGACACGTGTTGTTACAGCAATGCAGTGTGTTGGCAAAACATCATCTGGTTCCTAAAACAACTCTGTTTACTGGTGGTTGAGTTAAGAGGTTTAAGATGATTTAGTAAAGGTCTGCATGAGGTTCTTTGGTTCTTTGTTTGTGTGTGTGTGTGTGGTAGTGGGGTGCACAAATCAAGTCATAAGATAATATGAGTGTGCGTAGTTTCTCATTTCCTGTTCTTTGCACGCAGTAGCTCAGTGCCTCCTCACCACATCTTTCCTTCTGTGTGCTGTAATGATTTTGTTTGCCAAAAAAACCCCCAGGAAGTTGAAGCCATAACTCCCTCTTTCTCCCCTCTTAAAAACCCCACTCACCAACCTAAAAATACAACAAACAAGCCCTCTTGTGTTTGCATCCAATACACACACATCTACAGTACGTTCATATCGGTGCAGAGCCGAGCACGCCTGTTCATGTGCATCTGCCTTTGTCCCCTGCAGTGAATTATTTAATGTGATGAACTTAATCCCACAGAGTCAAACAGGCCTATTATTTAATGGCACCCTATTGGCCTGAACCCACTGGCCTGTTGTACCCAGCAGTACAGATCAAATCCATTATCCTTGTCCTTGTTAGGTCATGCAGCCTCAAGTTGAAGTGAGTTGAAGAGTATTTCCAGATACTTTTTATGGATTGTTTTATCCGTCCTAAATGTCGGATGAGTGGAGTTTGGTATACGACATTATCAAGAGCACCTGAAAGACTAAACAATCGTAAAATATACAATGACATGTTAAACATCTGTCACTGTAAAACTCAGTGGTCTTGTGTAATTTCTCAAGTACTCCGGGGTTATCTGTTTATTTAGTCTTATCAAGTC